CTGAAAATATAAATAAAACAGGTATAAATAAAGCTCTCATGCCGTATCTTTACTCGGCAATAAATTTGATGCAAAATATGATAGCATAGAAACAAAGGGGTGAAAGACTTTTGTCAAGGGGTGTACATTGATTCGGGATTGCATGCGTTTCAAATACGAAGCACAAAGCACAGGCATATTACTCTTTTTTCATATTAATTCTATTTCTCAAAGTAACCTGCCATGTCCAACCTTGGACTAATTATCTTCTTCATCACCAGACCTCGTGCAATGAAATCTATCCTACATAGTTTAAAAACAGCATAAAACGCGCGGATGGTGTTTTTCAACCGTTGACCTTATGTGCTTCTTTTCTTCCATCGTCAAGGCTAAAACAATAATAAAACCTTTAGGAATGTCCTATAGTGGCAGCGCATGTCTCTCACGAACTGACTGCTCCTTCGGGAAGTTTTCGATGCTTACACATAACTTTCGATAATTTAGTGGTAACTCTTTAGACCTGCATACGTGTGTTTATAGAAAACGAATTCCCAAATACGACTAAGGTACAAGAGATCTAGAGTTATTCTTTGTGTTTCATTGTTAAAACAAAAGATGTAGACACTCACCTATCCACATGAGCTGTTCTAGCTTATCGTGGTAAGTGCTCGCCTCCGAATCACATGTTCTTCTGCTCTAGCCTAGGTGACCGCACATCTGACATATGTAACTTTGGTAAGAAAACTCATTCTACCTAAAGGACTTAGATTGGTCTGGTCATCTAATGTGATTCGGATAGTGCGGCAGTTCGATTCTGCGAGAAAATAATTGTTTTTTATTTTAATTATACGGTTGGATCCGCTTGTTCCCGAAACGCGTTGTAACGCGTTCTATGAACGTATCCAACCGCGTTCTGCAAACGCGTCTAGGTGCGTCAGATGTTTCATTTTAGTTGCAGTCAGACGTGTTTTACTTAACGCGTGTAGAATGTAGCACAAGCGCGGTAGAAACGCATTTAGGGTAGTTAAAATATTTACATGGGTAGTAAATTGAAAATACGCAGTGTTACAGCCCTGGCTGTCTTCCACTCGATATCTCTCTCTGTCTTTGCTTTCTTTCGTTCGCTAGCCTGTACGTCGACTTCGTGTGTTGGTTCCTTCCTTTGACCTTTGATCTATACACTGACGGGCAGTATGACTAATTCGTCCTAATGAAAGAACGGAAAGAAATATTAGTTGTTAATGACCAGGTGCGTTGGTAAATATTATGTTTATTTGCACTCAAGGTGCTATTTTACAAAATTGGCCGCTCAAAATAGATTGTCCTCATGCTATACTCAAAGCCTACGCGATCGAGAAGATTTGAGAGAGACGAACACTCCCTAGAAGTATTTCGTAATAGAATAAAGACAATCGGATGTTTTGTTATATGCTTTAATTTGAGAAAAGCTCCAAATATTTATTCAACAAAAGACTTCAGATAAACTCTTTCTCTTATATGTACAGTGCAAACAATAATATAATACAAAGAAATAGTTTTATATTCATTGATATTATATTACTAATGTTAGCCGGACTGCTCCGATCCGATGAACATTCTCCGCCAAATGCTTCTGCTATTGTACATTCTGCTGGTTTACCACGAACTGTCCATGAACATCCCCAGTTATTCGAATCTCTTTCATTATATGAATCACTTGACGATGGATTATCCCACCAAAATATAATAGTTCCATTAAATATTCCACTATTCTCATCAAGAGCTTGAAAAAGTGCTTTAAAGGCCATATTTTGTAATGTAAGATTTGCACTATAATTATCAATACATTGAGCAGGTGGGGTAGATGATGGCATAGCAAGTCCAGCCAATGAACTTGGATATCCAACTTCTGTGAATATAACTGGTTTCGAACTGACATTTGATGACTGATTACTTAGCCATAATTTAAAATATTGAAAATAACCAGAAAAAGATTCAATCATATCTTGATAAGAAGGTATGCTACTATCGTTTGTTATATTGAGAAGAGGTAAATAAAAATCCATACCAATAAAATCTAATGTATCCCAAAAACCAATCTGAGGAGTTTCAATTGGATAAAATATTGAGGAATAAGTTAATAATCCTGAATAACCTCCATTACGAATATTTTCAA